GCATTGATAATTAATTAACCGACGAATAGAATACCAAATTATTTAACATAAATTTCTAAAGTAACTGATATGAAACGTTTTGAAATTTTAAATATATTTTTATACATATTTACATGTGCATGTATTATGTATATATCTAAAAATCATCTCATTATGTTTTAACATCAAAACTATCAGCATTAATAATGATCTAAATCAATGAATGGAATACCAAAGATTTCTAAAATATGATATGAAACATTTTAAAATTATAATACTTTTCTATACACATACGTACATGTGTATATATCATGTATATATATATATCTAAAAATCATCTCATTCTTTTTCAACATTAAAACACCAACAACATTAATAGTAATCTAAATTAATTCATGAAATGAATACCAATACTAATTGACAAAAATATCTAAAGTATGATATGAAATCTATATTGAAATTATAATAATTTTCTATACATACGTATACACGTGTATGTATTATGTATATATACATATATTTAAAAATCACTATATACTTTTTTAAGAAAAAAAAAAAACCGCAGAAAGGGATACTTATCATTCTCGTATCATCATTCTCATCTATATCGTTTGAAAATAAGTTTTACCACGTATAGAAACTTGTAGCCAGCTTTGTCTTTACTCTCGCAAAACAAGATTCAAAGCTCAAGAACTATCATAGATATATATCTTCGATCCTTGTAAAATGTAACCGGTTATTCTACTTGACGACGATAAATCGATAGGACAATAAATCGAGATACGAAATGTCCTACCGTTTTCATAACGGTCCTTTTCTACTTCGAAAGAACAAGAGAAAAGGTATTACCTTTTATACAAACATAAATATACATATATACATACATACATATATATATATATATTAAAGTGAAGCAAAAGTTTGTTCGTTCGTTCGTGTTGAAACTTTACTTTGAAACTGCATAATGGATTGTGTTTTCTGTTAAATTTACTTTGAAAATATCAATATATAAAAAAATGAAGAGTAAAATTCACGAACTTATGGTTCACCCTAATACATATTTATCATAATACACGTATACGTATCGCATAATATTAAAAAATGAAATGAATCATGTGAACACCCACACAATGATAATATCATCAAACCGATATGAAGTCATGATAATAATATGGTGATACAATGATGGTGTAGTTAATACATTAATTACCGTATTATACGTATACGTATCGCATAATATTAAACAAAGAAATGAATCATGTGAACACTCACAATAATAGTGTCACCAAACTAATATGAAGCCATGATACGATCATGGTGTTGTTAATACATAATTACCGTAGTATACTAATTACATATTTACTGTATTATACATATACAGTAATATTAAAAATACAGGTAATATTAAATACTATACTAAATAATATTAATTACAATATTAAATACAGGTAATATTAAAAAAAGGAATAAAAATCACTAAACCTATATGGGGTGATGATAATGTGATACAATAATGGTGTTGTTGTTGTTATAAATGGATACAAAAAAAAAATCTACAATATAAGAATTTTTTGTTTTTGGTTGAATATAAATTATGATCTCGATAAAAAAAAAATATTTTCTTTTATTGTTATAGGTATATTTACGGTAATGTGTTACAACGTGCTGTGCGACAAGTACGCGACACGGCAGATGTATGGTTATTGTCCTAGCTGGGCCCTCGATTGGGAATATCGGAAAAAAGGAATCCTAGATGAAATACGACATTATGCTGCTGACATCATCAGCCTGCAGGAGGTCGAGACGGACCAATTCTATAATTTTTTTTTACCCGAGCTTAAACACGATGGTTACGATGGTATATTCTCACCGAAATCTCGTGCAAAGACAATGGCTGAAAATGACCGGAAGTACGTTGACGGATGTGCTATTTTTTACAGGACAGCCAAGTAAGTTAAACATATTTTATCATTATTATTATTATTATTATTATATTTAATTCAACTTATTTTATACGATAATTATTAACCTTATGTGATTTATATTTTCTTAATCTTTCTTTTATTTTATTTGTAACTTTATTTTAATTCAGATATTCTATTTTGCAATATATATTAATCTTATAT